AGCGGGCCGGGCGAACGGCGTCCCGTAGTTCGGCCCTCCTCTGCCTTGGCCGTATTCCCCATCCAAACCCAATGGGGAGAGGAGCCTTCACATTACTCACAACAAACGGTTTCCGCCCATCAAACGCACCTCCGTAAACTTGAGGTGATTTCAACATTATTAAAATAATTAATTAATTAGTTTCCGTCCCGCCCTTATGCTACACGCCACAGCTTCATATATTTATAATCACTTCGAGACTACGCTAAGCTCGTAATATAGGATTAGGACAGGACAGGACAGGATCGTGCCACCTGCCCTATTCCTATTGGTCACTCACAGATTTTCTGCCCTCTGGTGGGGCACACCCAAGTACTATTCCACTCTCATCAAAATTTAATTATTTATTGGATTGGATTGTGTATAACTATGTACCAACGGATTTATAAATTAAAATCAATACACAAGTGATCAATGGGTCAAACAAGTGCGAGTGTAAGCAGCCTGACCCTGAGGAGAGAATCCAAGGAAATTTACAAACTTTACTTTAGCAGAAACGAAAAGTCTTGTAGAGTTGCAAATGGGCAGTGGGACGAAAATATCCTCCCTCTTCCAGATTTGGATTATGATTCGTGTAAAACGACTATTTGACAAATTTTGAATAACTTATTTATATGCTTGAATTGGACTCCCTTGTCTCTATTTACTAGATATTTTTGAAACTACTCCCAGCCCACACAGTTCAGTTTCTGGCGCAACCCAACCGCACCCTTGGGTTTTGCAGCTTCCCATCTGACACCCAACTTCCAATTTCAAGCTGGATTTGAGTTTGGAGGACTATGTTTTCTAAATGGATTTGAGAACGGATTGAAAAAAATATATTAAAAAACACATAAATTGTTTTTTTTTTCAAAAAACCAAACCGATCATTTGATCTGTCGGTTTTAAATCAAATAAATGGTTAGTCAGCATCCATTCTTACCTAAAAACCGACCCGATCCACTGATGTATCCTTCCAAAATATCAGAAGGCTGCTAAAATATCTCTCCCTATGTTATATTTTGTTACAATTTCATGAAAACTTATTTAAATGTATTTTCTAAATTTTTTAAATCCTTTTCTAATTTACGAACTATATCATGTTAAAAATTATAAATTTAGTCTATAAGATTTCGAGTTTGTGTCTAATTGGTTCGTAATTAAAAAAAAGTTGTCTAATATATTCTCCAACTTTCAATTTTGTAAAGGTTACTAGAAGTTAAAAGTATCTAATATGTCCTTAACCTTTCAAGGTCGTGTGCGTAATAGATCATTTGCCTATTCAACATTTTTTTTTTTGAAAAAAAACATAAACAGATCTATGAAACATAAACTGAATTTTGTGTCTAATAGAATCATAAACTTTTAATTTGTGTTTAACAAATCTATGAATTTTTTTAAAATTTCAAATAAGTCAGAAATTAAACGTGGCAAAATATTTTCCCATGAAAATATCTGGTGGGGGTGGCATGGGATGGGTACTCGGAGCACCACCACTATGGCCATGAAATTTTCCATCATCATTTTACTTGTTTGCCAAAGCCAGAGCCAGACGTCAAAGTCGTAACAGCTAGCAGTAGTGTTTTTCTTATCTCCTCACAGTCATTGCCAATGGCCATTATTGTTGTTTCTTTTTTACGAAAATACAGCCGCCTAAACCTAATGGCAGATCTATAAATTTTATTCATCGTTAATTTATTCACAAAAATATAATTTCGAGAGATTGGAGAATGGTAAGCACTTTGGATCTCGGTACCACCTACCGTTAGATCTTAATTTAGAGTCATGTATTCGTCATTGCATAATAAACCACGATTATAGAATTTATAGGGATCTACTAGCCTAAGTCACATGGCATCCAGCTACTATTACTTTTGAAGATGATGTGCTCGTCGATTTTCTTTTACCGTATCTCACCATTTAAATTTTAAATTAAATCTAGAAAAACTTTAATACAAATAAGATAAGAAGTTAAAACATAAAATTAGAATGATATAGTTATATGCGTAAAAGTAATTGAAACGTGATAATTTTATATTATAGTCCAATTTTTTTTTACTAACTATTATATTTTAAATAACTTCAAATTGTCAAATTTATAGTATATATGACGTAAAGTTAATAAATATGTACCATAGACCATTAATTTTCAAGTTGATGATTTCTCTAGATAAAAAAGTTGAAATTAAAAATTATCTAAAATAAGTACAATTCAATATTAAAAATGATTTTAAAAGAAGAAAAACAATATCAGTACAATAATTTATAGAAAAAATATTTCTTGTAGGTTCAAAATAATGGGTGGTGACTACCTAATAATTTAAAATTAGGATTTAAATGTCCCACCAACTTATATATTCAATTCTTTTTTATTTTCTAAAAATTGACATATTTGAATAAAAAATTTGAAATTTCTATATTTTTTTTTAAATTGACATATTCTATAGTTTCCTTTCATTTTTTAAAAATAAAATCGATGGCATTTTTTTCGATATACAAAAGTCGCATAAAATTGAATAGGAAACATGAATTAATACGAATTACATAAATAAAATTAAAATTAAAAAAACAACCGAGTTCAGGTTCGAACACGGGCAATTCGGGACTGGGCGCACGCAATGCCACTACGCCAAAGATGGATTGGATAATAATTTAGACTTTTACATAAAAATATAAATTATTGTTTTTCAAACGTTCAGAGCCCCCGGCCCCACATAGATCCGTCCCTGCACAAACCACGTGATGTTAATAAATACTTCATTGCAATATTTTTGGAATATATATATATATATTTCTGATCTGATTTCATGCCCCCTCTATTTTGTGGGTTTAAATAGAAGAATCAAGAAAAATAGATTTTGTTGTGTAAAATTGATTTCGATAGGTTACTGAGGCTATCTTAGAATAGAAAGTAGCAATTTGAAGAGCACATGCACGGTCGGAGCTTCTAGACCTTACTAAAGTTTAGAAAAGTTTATACTGAGATTCATTAATTGGTGGCGCTTTACATCACATTTCCTTAAAAAATACTAAATAGTACCAATATCGAGAGTTCAATTGACCATAAAATTTAATTTACAACGAATTTTTTACATTTTAGAAAATATAATATTTTTTATTTAATTAATAAATTAAAACTAGTAAGATTTCTTTATTAAATCCAATAAAGACATAAATTAGTATGTGATGTTGAGATAATGGAGCCAAATCAGGAAACTCATATTTATTATAATATTGTTTTTCCTAAATGACTAGAATATTTGGCCTCCTATACAGTCATTTTGTTTAGGTTTTGTTTATGTGTTGTTGCACATCAAAGTGGGAGCTGAACGTGTAGGTGTACGAATTTTTAGATGGCAGCAGTAGTGCTATTTGGCAAATTATTTACAGATCTCGGGATTGTAAAGCATCGTTGGCAATCTATTCTCGTGGGTATTTGGTGAGGTTTTTATTTATGTTTTTCAGGATTTTATTGTTGTAGTTTCTATAAGTTATATGGTTTTTATGAGGTCCTTATATTTGAGATATTATTGTATTTGTCCATTGTATTATCCCAAAATCATAGTATAATTTGTTGTCGGGAAAGATTGGATGTGTTCATAGTTGGGTTGAATCAGTATAAATCTTTTGTGTCATTTTTCCTTATATTTCTTTTATTGTTTAATTGACTTAGTTTTCACTCGAAAATTGTAGAATGGAAAAACATTCTTGATAAGTAATTTAAAAAAAATGTGGACGATAAAGAAAAATCTAGTCATAAATAATAATAAAACAAGAAATTGACATTAAGAACTAATATTTATTTATAATAAATGTTTATAGCCTTATCGATAAAGATCATGTGGATGATAAAAAGGAAGTCATAGTCCAACCACGTGGCAACGATGAGAATGGAAACAAAGAAAAATCGAGCCGAATTATTAGTTTATTGTCACAACTTAGAATTGTATCTAATAGAATTCTAGAGTTAAAAAAGTGTTTATAATAAATCTAAATTTTTAATTTTGTGTTTTACAACCATTTCAGCTTTCAATTTTATATCTAATTCATGTCAAAGATGAATTTTAATTCATGAATCTATTAGATAATAATATGAGATTGAATTTAAAATTAAAAGTTATGAGATTTATTATGCACTTCAAGACGTCTATATAGATACAAAATTGAAATTTGAAAAATTCAGATACAAAATATATATATCAAAATTATAAGATAAAAAAGGAGCGTGTGGAAAAGCTTGGATATTGGAATTCAATAATTCCATAGAAGCAGCCAAAGGACATGCCTCATGGGCATGGCCAGCAGCATCCACAGAAGCTGCAGTTAAGATACCGAAAGTGAAAGCAGGAAACACTAATGTACTATGAATTTTTGAATTGCAAAACACGTTTCTGGATATGGTCCAGCTGCTATTTTGATGCTCAGCCCCACTGCCACTGGCCTGGCCATATGTGTTACATAGCTGCAATCTTTATGTTCATCCCACACCCTTATCATTTATTAACCACGTCTTATAATTTAGGTTAAGTAATAGATTTGGATCAGCTGATTTAGTCCACTCATTTAGATTTAGCTTCACTTATTTACTTAAATCTCACAAAAGCTAATTATTCTTAATGTTATATCAACGCATTTTGTTTAGCATGGTGGTAATGATTTGATTTTTTTTTCTATTTAATTAATTGTGTTAGTTCAACGATTTAGAGAGTGAGAAAACATCATGTTATTCTTTATATACATATTACCATGACAGAATAATTTATATTGTCTTTTTCAATAATTTATATTGTTTGTACTCGTCAGTCTTTTCACCCCACCTCATCGAGGTTTAATTATTGAGTATAAAATAATTAAATAAAAAAGTTAGGGGTGTTATTAATAATATAGAGACAAAGGATAAAAGTAGAAAAATAATTGTTAATGATAATAGAATTGATAATGATATATGAGAGATGAAATTATCTTTTAGGGAATGAGAATGGAAATTAAAAAATTGTGTGGGTCCCACCCAACAAAAAAAATTGATTCCTATTCTTTCATTTTCACTCTGCTGTAGTAAACATGGTTTAAGCAAAAAACCATGTTTTTATTTGTAAAAATATTTTGAGATGAAGTTAAAAAGTAAAAGTTATAAGATTTTGTGTCAAATGTGGGGAATATTTATTGTCCTCAGAGTTCCTGACATGTAAATTTGAATGGTACACATGGGTTCACTTATCATGTCACGTGGAGAGAACTAGAAGATAAAGAGTAGAGATAAAAGAAATTTGGGAGCGAAAAAAAGGACAAGGTAGTCTTTTCAAAGTAGGGTTGTCAATGACTAATAATGAAGAGTGTGATATCGACAAATTTTTATCACATGGGACTTAAATTCAATTAAAACTATAAGGACATTGGTTTTTTTTTTAAATTATTAATTTTCTTAATCTAAAGAAAAAATATATTAAATTTTGAAAACAAATCAAAATAAGAATTATGAAATTTAATAAATATCATGTACAAATTAAATAATCAAAATACTACTTGTCTTTTAATATTTTGGTAAATTCAAATCTGCTAACGTGCAACGGTGAGGAGCCCACTAGTTGTTAGACTAACTTATAATGTATTCCAACGAAGCGTCGGGTTGTTGATAAGGAGTGTGAGCAGACGAGGGCTACTCTTGTAGGACCTTTTAGAAGTGTGGTCCATACACGGCTAGGGAGGAAAGAAAGGAAGGGGATAGCGAGTCCCATGTAAGTTTCTCAATAAGTTTCATTTATTCAAAAACATGCGGGAAAAAAAAACTCCTATTCTTGTGAATTAGAAATCACTTAAAAAAAATTTATGCATACAACTCGCTATCTTTTTTATTTCTTTTTTTAAAGTCAGATAACAAATAAGGGAGCGATGAAAAATAGAAATCAGCGAATTTTGGAAAAAGAAAATATGGTTTGCAAATTAAATTTATAAAGATAAAGAATCCTAACTGTATACATTGAATAAAAATGTCTACACACATATTGAAATTGCCTCCAATATATATGTGTATACAAACTTGAAAACTAGAATTAATAATAAAGATTGGCTGTCCAATACTTATTTGCTGAAGCAAATACCATGATCTAATAATGAATTATTCTAATTAGTAGATATTATTACTCCTACATTCATGTTGAATATATGACTAAATCTTCAACGAGATACCATAAAATTATTTGAGTTAATTTAGAAAATTGGTATGTATTTTTATATAATCATGTAAATATTCATTTAAAATTTAATTAAATTTAGAAGGAATTTACCCCTATAGTTTTGTAAGTCAAAAATTAAGAGAAATTCCAATAGATAGCAAATTTTTTTTATGTATTTCAAAAGATGTCACATATTTTTAAAATTTTTAAATATTGCACAGATTTTCAATTAATATCAGTAKTACATCATATACCCATATTAGTAGAATATCAAATACTCATATCAGTAGTATATTACACATATATGGTACAAACACTCATATAAGTAGTATATCATATATATATCACATACATATTGCAAGTATATATATTAGACACTCATGTCAGTAGTATATCAGATATGTATCACACACATATATATAGTCAGATATATTACAAATATATATCATTTGGATAAAGTTTTAATTTTAAAATTGGACGTCCGTTTTTTTTCTTCTAAATTCTATGTTTGAAAAAAAAATAAATATGGTTGCTATTTTGCTAATTTCACTCATTGTTTGGTAACCAATTCAATTTTGTGTTTTTGATTTTTCATTTCGAAATCCAATCTAAATTTCAAAAAAAAAAAATACTTTTCAAAAATTAATTTTTGTTTTTCAAAATCTAATTTTTCTCCTGATACTCTACTTTTTTATTTCTTTCTCATATTTATCTCTAACAAAATTCTTTCTCACTCTAAATTTTTTTTCATCCTAAATTTCGCTCTACAAAATCTATGTTTCTCTCGCTAAAATTTTTATATTCTAAATTTTATTATTATTTCTCTTTCTCCAAAATTTTCATCTTGCTATATCTTTATTTTTTTTAACAAATCATTCTCATTTATGTCCAGAAAGTTAATATTTTCTCGAACTTTTTCTCTCTCTACAATTTTGTTTTTTTAAAACTTTTTTTTCTTCTTAATCTATTTTTCCTCTGAAAATTATATCTTATTTTCTCGTTCAATTATCTTTTAACTATAACTTGTATTTATCTTTTTATTTATTTATTTTCTCTAAAAAATATATTTTGAATATTATTTTTATCTTTAAATTTTTTCACACTATTATTTTGCTTTTTCTTTCTAATTTCTTTTTTTCTTTAACGTATCTTTTTCTCTCAACTTTAATTTTTTTCTTTGAAAATTTTCTTGTTTTGTCTTTAAATTTTCTTTTTCTCTCCAAAATTTATATTTAAAAAAGTTTATTTTCATCCTTCTAATCTTGTATTTCGTGTCTCTACATTAGGGATGACAGAAATTCTCTAGAGTCGAGTCCCTTGAAGAATAGGAAATTCATGTCTCAAACCCGTCCTGATTCTTTTTTTTAAATAATTAATATATTTTTTACTAACATATTTACTTAATTGTGAATAAAATATTAAATATTTTTTAAAACTAATTATTTATAATAGTAAATAATAATTCTAAAAATAATTCATATATATTTATTACACTTCTTTATAAAATTCTAAAAATAATTAACATTAATTACAAAATCGGTAATTTTTCCTGCGAATATCCCCTTCCCAAAATAATGATTCTTTAACATGGTTCTGGATTCCCGAATCGATGAACGAGGTGGAGATGGTGGACTAAAAATTTTCACGAGCACGAAAATGGAGAGCACGTCTTCAATTCCGCCCCACATTATTGTCATCTCTACTCTAGATTAAATCTTCTCTTTAATATATATTTCCAATTTTGTAACTTTTTTAAAAATAGAAAACCAACAATGGTTATCAAACATATTTGGTTTTCTGTTTTTAAAAAACAAAAGACAAAAACCCATTATCAAACATGTATGGTTTTTATTTTTTAAAAAAGAAAATTAGAAAAAAAAAACCAAAAACCAAAAACTAAAAATAAAAATGATTATGAAATGGGCCCTAAATATTTTTGTTAACCGCCCCTTCAATTAATTTTTACTCAAAACTTCAATATCATCTAACAAACCCTAAATTTAGATATAACTGCTACAATTCTTACGCTCTATGCAATTTCAACCCACTAATTTAGTTTATGATTATTATACACAAAGTTGCCCATTAAATAACCTTGCAAATACTTAAAAAAAAAAAAAAAAACAGCTCTAGTGTCAGTTTTAGTTTGAATCCTATCAATTTCATATCAAATATCTATTTTTATAATTTCATTTGATACGTATGAGAAAACTTTTTTCAAACGCAAAGTAAAAATTGTAATAATTTTTAAAGTTGAAGGTGAATATTGCAACCACTTATTTAAGGTGTAATTTAAAAAAATTCAAAATTTAGAGTAACATTGTATCAATTTGTCTAGTTGGATTGAAATTCAGATTTTTCCTAAAATTTAGTTGACATTAAATCGATAACTGGACAACTAATTCAGTTCCCAAACCCTTGTTTTTCTAGTTTTTTTCTTAAAAAAAAAAGTTTTAGTTTCGTTTTTTTTATATAATCAAATAATTAGTATTTTTTTAGTACAACATGAAAGATGGAGATTCAAACTTATTTAGTTGGTAATAGATATTTTAATAACTATATTATATCGAATATATATATATATATACACGCTCTAATTTGACAAATGATTAAATAGTTAACTGCGTACGCGAGATAAACAAGAATTACAGTAGCACTGAAATGATTAAGGAAATCTTACTAATACAAATAACGACCTTCATGTAAATCAGTCCCACTACACTCTGTGCCTTTAATCGCTAGATGGTGCATGGACTCTGTCTCCATGTTGGGTCGGGTCATGGGTGCCAATTGCCAGAGGCCCTCGGGTGCACATTGGCCTCCGCCCATATTAAAATATTTTGCCCAAAATAAATAATTTTCCACTTAATATTTCCACATATTTCAGATTTGTATTTATTTTTCTAAAAGTTTGGTTTCCGTACATACCATATTTTGTCCTGATCATTTTTTTTTATTTCCTCCGGATCTTCTTTGTTTGAAGTAAAAAAGAAAAGTAAAAAATTAATTAAAAAAAATTAAAATTAAGTTAATTAATGAAAAATGAGAATTTAAAAATAGCTTTTTTACTTAATCTCTCGAGCTCCCCCTTTTTTTTTCTCTCATTATCTCCCCATTCTCCCGAGTTCTACGTTTTCGACTCTCCAGCATTTTTTTTCTCTCCTCCATTTGGTGTCATTTCTTCCACTCATTTCTAGTTGAACTGAACATCCATATTGGAAGATTTGAAATTTCTTTTGCTATTTTTTTTTCTCTCCTTTTCAAATTGCTGAAACAAAATACTTTTATTTAATTATAGATTGTTATTTATTAATATTGATATTTAATTCAATACTTATGGGCTTGTGAGTGTTGAGAACTGAGATTAATTTTGTAATTAAAAGCTAATTTTAAATGGAAACGCTGCAAGGAACTCCTCTTGCCGTCACTCCAGGCTCCGAATACGGCTTCAAAAGCTGATAAGGGTCGACTCCAGCTCCATGTCTGTTCTTTAACTTAGGATTTGCATTCCTCTGATCAATAATATCTTCCAATTTTTTCAACCTCCCACTGAACTTGTCAAACGCTTGCTTTACAACAGGGTCATCACCCCATGCTGGTTCCATATCCTCTCCCAAATACTCCTCTTCTGGAGAATGAGTTGACAATATACTTAGAATGGACAAAAGCACAGTCGCCTGAATATGTGCAGGAAATGTGTCTAGAAATACACGTTCTGGGTCTTCAAGAAAGCGCTTCCAAAGCTTCGAGTTGGGTTCTTCTGTGGGGACGTTGATTCTGGCAACACTGGGTCGCGCTGGAAAATAGCTTGCGAAATAATATTGTCCAAAGTTAACTGCTGCGTGGTGGCCAGAAGTAACCCACATCATGCTGCTGACAACGTCAATAAGGTCTTCAGGAGTGTTGAGGATGGGCCACCATGGTTCCTCTTTCTTATCTCCGTGGCCCACGCTTCGAATTTCTGTCCACCATGCTTGGAGTTCCTTATCTGACTTCACAACGCCTGGGTCTGGATAGTAGTGGTTCACATATTCTGTTGCCCACTCTTTAATGGCGTCCCAAAGAATTAGCCCATCGTTCGCAAAAGGGTAGTCTTCAATGCTCAGCTTTACACCATGAGCTGCATTTGGATCCTCAACGGCCATTCCTCTTCCGGAAACAAACAACTTATTAGCATGGTAACTAAACGCGGGGAAAAATACAAGGCAATTTAAAAGAATTAGTTGGCAGCAACAGTTACCTGTGAATTAAGTCCGCAGGCAAAGCTTCCAAGTTGAACTGCCACTGCTTCTGGTAGACCATAGAACTAACTTCCATAGAATATTTTCCAAGTGAGAAGGCGGTCTCGATGATCCCTCCTACATTGGTAAGAGCTTCCCGAGCAATTGCATTGATCTCCATCGTGTACCGAAAATGGGGGTGCAGCAGTCTATAAATTGGATGCATTGCACTTAATTGTCGATGCATAGCAATAATGTAGGGTTCTACCGAACAATGAGTTCTAAGCCTGTAAGTGAAGATTAATAAAACAAAAAAATATATTTTAAGCAACTTTTTCTTTAAGTACTTATCAATAGTTCAATGTTAAAAAGACATACCAGTGGCTAACAAGTTGGTGATAGCCAGAGTCATGAGCGAGAACATGAGCTTTGGCAATCCTCCAAAGCCAAAGGCCAGTGGAATTCAAACATGGTGTGAAAACGTCTTTCCATTGTTGTTTGCCGTCTATTGGTGGCCTAGTGAGCTCAATAGCTAGGGGCTTCAGAGTGTTATCTGGATTTAAGAAGAATAACGTCCTTGACCCATATAATGTCTTGCCTTCGATCTTTCGTACCTTTGCTACATATGGTAGAAACAGATCATGGTAATCTAATATATATAACTTCTTCTGCTCCACCGCCTGCAACCCAAAATAATCAAACTCTTTACACACGGAAAAATATATTTTTTGTTCATAATGTTTGACGTAAATATCTATTTGGTTACTAAAATTTCAAAATGCATATTTTTAGTCCATGAGATTTTCAGTATGTGTGTATTTAGTCCCTAAAGTTTCAAAATGTACATCTTTAATCGCTGAAGTTTGAAAAATTGTTCTAAGGATCATTTGACAGTTAGTTGATCATTTGTGATTTTTTCTCTCCCCTCTCTTTCTCTTTTTATCCCATTTCCCGCCAATGTTATTGCCACCACTGCCAACCCACCCACCCGCTGTCGCCGTAGCCACACTTTCTCGCACCTTTGGTTCTCTCTCTCCTTTTCTTTTTCTAACCTTCATTCTAGATCTAGAACGAAGGAGAGAGGAAGACCTCATCCTCCTGCCGACAATTGCAAAGGACAAAGCACGACGATGGTAATGCGATGGAGAAAGTGCCACGTCTCTTTTCTTTTTCTCACCTTCATTCTAGATCTGGAACGAAGGAGAGAGGGAGACCTCATCCTCTTGCCGACAATTGCAAAGGACAAAGCACGACGATGGTAATGCAATGGAGAAAGTGCCGCGACGGCAGACGGTTGGTCGACGGTGGCAGCAGGCCGGAGATGAGAAAGAAAAAGAAGGGAGAGGAAGAGAGAAAACCACGGACAGTCAACCGTCAATAATGGAATATTTTGACCAAATATTCCATTTTGAAACTTAGGGATCAAATAGACACCTACTCCAAATCCATCAAATCGACACTTGCTTCAAATCGGAAGAACCAAAAGTGTATTTTTTTCAAAATATATTATACGTAATTGAAATTAAATTGTCAAATCGCTTGCTCGTACCTCATTGAGAGTCATGAATCCTTTGATTTGTTGCTCAACTATTTCATTGGTGATTGCTGATTTAGTTGGACCATAAATGGCAGGGTCAAGTTTACTCTCTAATGGCCATTCCTGTAAAAAATTTCTAATGGCAATAAGTTTCCTATATCAATGAAAAGTCCTATGTGCGTTTTATGAGTTTAAAGGACGTTCTGGAGCATTGAAGTGGAAGGGTAGGACTTAGGAGATAGTAATCATACCGTGACAAGCCTTATGCTACACGGATTGAGACCTGCAAGGGTTTGTCTAGCAAATTCCTCATCTTTAAACCAAAAGAATTTGTCGCCTTGAGAATAATGAAGAATTACATTCTAATCAGTTAAGTAACAAAAAACAAAAAGGAAGAAGAAAGCACAAACGATTTGAATATTTGAATATTGCTTAATTAGAGTTGTTCTTACTATCGAGGACTGCTTGGGAAGGACCTAAGAGCAGGATACGCACAACCTTATCCACAGCAAAATCAATAAGTCTTGGAAGAAGAGCACTCGGCTCCCACGTGTATTTAGAAGAAGGCAACAACATAACCCTATTTGTGAAACGCGACTCTATGTCTTGGGCTATCGCCTCCAAAGCTGGTATGAAGCCATGTAACATTGAATAAACTGTCTTTACTGCCGGGGTTGTAACCTGTTTTGTATCTATGAATGCCTCGTCTCGAGGCACATAAAAGTTTGAACTCGTTACCTCCGATAATGGATCTACACATATAATTTTCCCCATGTTACTATCATATAATAGTAAAGAAAGATGAAATAGTAAAGAAAATTACCTGCTTGAGAACGTGCACGTCCAGTTCTACAACGTCGAGGGTAAGGATGTTGCTTACCGCCAAGAATTGGTCTTTTAAATTCGTCGCCTCTGTCGGGATCGCCAAGATCGTTGTAAACATCATAATCATATATCCTATGGTGAGACTCTCGTTTTCCATGTCCGTTGCCTTGCAAAATTTTGAGGTCTTCTTCTCTAAACCTCTTTAGCCCCTCTGGTGTATTTGATGGCAAGTATGACTGAACATCATCAATCACATAGTTAGTAATAAACTCAATATGGTAAAATATGTGTCACTTGCTCATCTAGTCAAAGTCCAAAAATGTACAATATAAAGACTCATATGGAAAGTAACAGAAAGAGATAAATAGTTACAACAAATCAACTAACTAATCAAAGAAGTTAGTTAGACTATAAAGTTAGCGTGGGTTTAGAAGTGAGGATAAGAATAGTAATTTTAGAAAAAAGATTTAAATATAATTGATTTTCTAAAATAATTATTCAAATGATACTTTAAATTGAATTTAAAGGGATTTAAATTAAATTTTTAATTTGTTAAAGAAAAGTGATTTTGATTGACATGATGTTAAATATGTGGTGTTAGTCTTTTTTTTTTTAATTGATTTTTGTAATATTGTTTAATCTCCAATTTTATTCTCTCACATAAAATAGTCATAACTTATTAGGAACCATTTTAGTTTTACAACTAACATTTAACCATATCCAAAAAAGTACGCAGATGCAAATACGAGGCCAAGTTATTGAATGTGTGACCTTAGTGGTGAAGAAGATTCTCCTATCATGGCTGTGAGACTTGGGACTGAGCCAAGAATTACATGAGAAGCGAAGAGGGCCATAGGGAACGCCATGGATGACAATATCCTTGAGGAACAGCTCTGTGTTATACTGATTCTCAACCAAAACCGCTCCAATTGCACCAAACTCTGCTGGAATATTTACTAACTCCGTCTCGTACGTAATTTCCCCATCCTCCTCCTCTCTGCCTACTTTCTGGGCATAGCCTTTTATTGTTCCCTTCTCCAATCCTGTGGCTGAGTACAGAATTTTTCTTCATTCAAATCCAGACCCCAACCATGTAAAAATCATAAGGTAAAAAGATGGGGTTTTTCCTTCTTTGGTAAGAAATAATTGGAACCCCCACCAAAAAAAGAAGACAAAAAATGGTAGTTAATTTGGGACCACCGGAGAAGTTGGCATGCATGCACGTATAGGACGCAACTAAATAATGGAAATGGTAAATTTAATATATAGACAATCAATCAGGCAGACGTACTGGGATCCATCTCAGTACTGAGAAGCTCGAAGACAAGTGTTTTGGTGCCCCACAAATAATCAGTAACATCGTAAAGCCATCGTTTGAGGCCAAGGTTGGGAAGCAGCAACCTGCCGACATGTCGTTTGACAGTAACAACAACATGAGCAGAAAAGGGGTTCTCCATGGGAGCCGCAACGGAGGCTTTAACGGCAGTGGAGGGAGAAGCTGAAGCGAAGCGGCCGCGGAGGCGAGGGGTGTTTGGAATAGGATGCTTAAGCAGCAAAGCTTCGACATTGTTCTCAACAAATGGGTTCCGGTTCCGGTACACAAAGTGAAAGTGGGGAGATGAGTTATAAACTGGAGATTTCAACATTTTGTTTTCTCAAAGCTTCAACTTGTTTGGGAGGAGACCTGGTGAGTGGTGAGTGGTGAGTGGTGAGAGGTATTTTATAAACAAGAAGATTTCAAAATATAACAACCCACCAGTATAAGTGTATCCCACTCTTTATGTACTGACCCGTCGCATCCATCTCTCATCACCACAATAATATTTAGAAATAGAAGAGAAAAGAAGATATATTTTTTTTCTGTCAAATTTTTAGTACTCCAATGGGTCAGCAACTAAATAATATTCGTAAGGCTGTCTTATATTGCCTCGAAAATTGTCTAGTGAAGTTATTTGAGTAGAGATGATGTATGACCCTATTTTTTTATGTTGTAATTTGGCCACACATATCTCGTGGTTGGTTTGGACAACCACAGCATTGCCCCTGCAGCGAGGGAAAACATCTCTGTAGGGTTGCAGCAACATGACTATCACTTTCGTAACCATTTTGTTTTACCCCTATGTGGTTCTCCTTACAACAGATTAGAACAGAATTCATTGCCAAAAATATATTTTATAATTTTTCTCTATTGTCAGCCACATTTTGTAATTCACGTTTTTTTTAATTTCAAAATACATAACAACTAAAAAGACGTAACAACTAGATTTGTATTTGCTCTAAAAGTGACTAGTTTGGTTTCAACTTTTAGAAAATAAATCTAAAAGTTTAATGAAGGGTTACTAAGGAAATGTTAACGTAGCATTAGTACATTGGTAACTAAATCGAAAAAATAATTGCATAAAGAAATCCATGAACCATCAAGATGTGTGTGAGGAGGAAAACAAGTTACAAGTTAACATCAAAATCAAACAAACGGTTGCTATGGTAGAGAACATATTTGTTTGCAGCTATGAAAAAGAGACGATTCAAGAAGGCGAGAAAGAGTGAAAAAAAAAAAGAAAGAAGAAATAATTATCCAACTCATAAATATCACACCATCTTATTGTTAGTGACACTAACAAAAGTTTGACTTAAAAGACCTTTTTAGAACTATTTTCAAATAGTCATGAATCAAACTAAACTCAAACTCAAAGACAAAATATACGTATATTTTACCCGAAATAAAATCTACCTTCACAGTTTCAAAAAAGTTTCAAACAAATTCTTTCTTAATAACACATTGAAATTGAATATCATAACAAATATGTTAAAGATATATATACTTGAATAATATTTGGGTACTAATCCCTTAACACTCTTATATTGACCATCATTAAAATTTTGACAATTCTTTAACTTTTTGATAGCAGAAAAGATATTTCTCTTCCTGCATTCTTCTCTCCTACTTATCAAAAATTTAATAGTGATCGGTGCTGACCGATTATTTCCTAAGTTCTCTTCATATACTTTTTAATAAGGTAACATTTTCGTAATGATATAACGAATCTTAGTCTGTGTTTGGTACCTTTTAAAATGGCTTATGGAGGATAAATTTAATTTAATTAATTTTTTTTTTTGAAAAAAGTAGTAGTGAGAGTGCTTTTAACCAATTAAAGAATTCTAAAAATAAATAAGTAAAATATTTAAAATGCTTGAAGCATTTAAGTTAAGTTGAAGTTGTATATCAAGAAACAACAGATTAGTTGTGTAACTTTCATCTAAATGGAAACGCTATACGGAACTCCCTTTCCTGTGACTCCAGGTTCTGAATATGGCTTCAAAAGTTGGTAAGGCTCCACTCCAGCTCCATGTCTGTTCTTCAATTTAGGATTCCCATTCCTTTCATCAATAATCTCTTCCAATTTCTTCAATTTCCCACTAAACTTCTCAAATGCTTCCTTTATAATTGCATCCTCACCCCATGCCGGCTCCATCTCCCCTCCCAAATACTTCTCGTCTGGAGGATGAGTTGACAATATATTTAGAATACACAGAAGCACAGATGCTTCAACATGTGTAGGAAATGTGTCTGAGAACACTTTTTCTGGATTCTCAAGGAAGTACTTCCAAAGTCTTGAGTTAGGATCTTCTGTGGGCACGTCCACTCTGGCAAAACTAGGCCGAATTGGAAAGTATCTTGTGAAAAAATACTGTCCAAAATTTACTGCTGCGTGGTGACCAGAAGTGACCCACATGATGGTGGTGACAACGTCTATAAGGTCTTTGGGAGTGTTGAGGATCGGCCACCATGGTTCGTCCTTTTTATCTCCATGGCCGACCGTTCGAATCTCCATCCACCATGCTTGAAGTTCCTCATCTAACTTGATAAGATTTGGTTCTGGGTAGTAGTGATTCACATATTCTGTTGCCCACTGTTTGATAGCTTCCCAAAGGATTAGGGCATCGTTGGCAAATGGGTAGTCTTCAATAGTCAATTTTAGACCATGAGGTGCATTTGGATCCTCAACCGCCAATCCCCTTCCAAAAACAATAAGATATACATAAAAATTAACTAATTTTAGTGATTTTTTACTAAAAATGTAATCTCACGTTGTATTAAGGTAATATTTACCTATTAATTAAGTCAGCAGGCAAAGCTTCTAAGTTGAATTGCCATTGCTTTTGGTAGACCACAGAAGTAATTTCCATGGAATACTTTCCTGGTGAAAAAGCAGTCTCAATAATCCCTTCTACGTTGATGAGAGTTTTGCGAGCAGCTGCATTAATCTCAATGGTGCCTCGAAAATGTGGATGCAAAAGTCTATAAATTGGATGCATTGCACTAAGTTGTCTGTGTGTAGCGATGATGTAAGGTTCTACTGAACAATGAGTTCTAAGCCTATAAATTAAAAATATAACAAAATAACGTCACCTTTTAATTAAAATAATATTTATCAATAGTTTAATGTGTAAGAAAAAGGAAATGAAAAGAAAGACAATTTACCAGTGGCTAACAAGTTGGTGATAACCAAAATCATGGGCAACAACATGAGCTTTGGCAATCCTCCAAAGCCAGAGGCCAGTGGCATCACAACATGGTTTGAAAACGTCTTTCCATTGTGGTTTGGCGTTGGTTGGCGGCCTAGTGAGCTCAATGGCCAATGGCTTTAAAGTGTTATCTGGGTTTAAGAAGAATAACGTCCTCGAACCGTATAGTGTTTTGCCTTTAAGCTTTCGTACCTTTGTTACATATGGTAGGAATAGATCATGATAATCTAATGCAAATAACTTCTTTTGTTTCACCGCCTGCACTACCCAACAGTACTCAAAATTTAACACAAAAAGATTTTGATCCAAGTGGAAGAAACATGCCTATGTGCGTATATATACCTCATCAAGTGTCATGAATCCTTTGATTTGCTCCTCGACTATTTCATCGGTGATTGCTGACTCAGGAGGACCATAAATACAAGGGTCAAGCTTACTTTTAATTGGCCATTCCTAGAAAAAAAATTAATATCTCAGAGGTCAGTTTCTTGTATCAACTGCAAGATCGTGTTTATCTCAAGTAAAGATCAGTTATTGTAGATAAATTATCATACCGTGACAAGCCTTATGCTATATGGATTAAGACCTGCAAGGGTCTGTCTAGCAAATTCCTCATCTCTAAACCAGAAGAATTTATCTCCTGAAGAATGAAGAATTGCGTCTCAATTAAGAACAACAAACACATATATTAGTGATATTTTTTAATCACACGTCCATTATCAATTGATTTTGAGATAGAATTTTATGAATATTGATACTTCTTATAGAATTCTTACCGTTAAATGTTTGTGAAGGACTTGGAAGGACATCCACCACCTTATGAGCAACGAAGTCAACAAGTCTCCGAAGAAGTGTATTGAGATTCCAAGTGTGTTTAGAAAGATTGTTTGTGTTAGACAAGTGTGAGGAACACAAGTTTGTGTCCGCCTCCAAAGTTGGTACGACGCAATGTAACATCCAAGAAACTGCCTTTGCTAACATGTTTACCTGTTTTATTTCAAGGAATGTTTCGTCTCGTGGCACATAAACATTGAGACTTCTCACTTCTGATAACGGATCTAAATTTTCCACGTCACCAAAGATTTTTCCTTAGTTAATTACCACCTTAATACATAGTTCGCATATTATATGAAAGCTCGTATTAAGGTAAAACCAAAAACAAAACAAAAACCTGTTGGTGAACGTGAACGTCCTGTCCTACAGCGTCGAGGATAAGGATGTTGTTTACCACCAAGCACTGGTCTTTTATACTCATCGCCATTGTCTGGATCTCCGAGATCATTGTAGACATCATAATCATATATTCTATGGTGGGCCTCGCGCTTTCCACTGCCATTGTCTTGTAAATTCCTTAGCTCTTTTGCTCTAAACCTCTTTAGACCATCAGGTGTGTTTGATGGCAAGTAGGACTGATAAAAAGATCAATCAAGGAGGTGGTGAATTATTTAATATTCACGAGATTCTATCCATTGAAAATGAAAAATGAGAGGAGTAGCTATGCCTGTTATAAACATTTATCAGATTCTTTATTTTTTTAATGTGTGATCCTTAACATGAATGAAAAGTAAGACGATGCGAAGAGGTGTTTTAGAGTGACCTTGGTGGTAAAGAAGATTCTCCTATCACCGCTGTGAGACTTGGGACTGAGCCAAGAATTACATGAGAAGCGAACAGGGCCAGTGGGAAGGCCTTGGATGACAATATCCTTGAGGAACAGCTCTTTGTTGTGCTGATTCTCGACCAAAACTGCTCCAATTGCACCGAAGTCCGCCGGAATTACAAACTTTATATCATACATAATTACCTCAGCATCCTCTCTGGCGACTTTCTTGGCATACACTTTTATTGTGCCCTTCTCCAGTCCCGTTGCTGAGTACAACAAGTTTTTTCATTCAAAACCGAACTCCAACCATGTAAATAAAATAGCTAAAGACCAAAAACAAGTTTGCGAAACGAAATCATGCATGAATATAACTGTAGGGGTTTTCTTTTTCTTTTTTTTTTTTCCTAAAAAGTTTCAAAACAGGGTATAAAAGGAACAAGTTTTTGGTACAGAATGTATTCAAATCGACTTCATGAGTATAATATGTAACTATTTCTTCTGTTAGATAAATTAGGAATATAATTATGTCACTATTTCTTTTGCCATACTTCTTCATCACAAGTTAGATTTGATTAAATTATAAAATTTTAAATTTTATACCTTTGAAAATACATATTTATTTTATGCTATTTATATAATTATCTCATGAAAAAGTTAATAGTAAAATTTTAAACCAGAAAAAAATTTTCAAAGTCTTATTGTGACTTTTTTTTTGATGTTTGGACTAGACTTTGTTGACCTTTATGCTAAAGAAGTCCCTATGAAGTTTGGGTCAAAATCCTTAAACCCGTGTTGTTGTCAACTATTTTTAGGTAGCAATGTGAACTTTCTTGAAAGTTCGAACTAACTATCTTTTAGTCGAAGATACGTGTCTTTATTCAATTCAACTAAGTTTAGGTTAGCGACAAAAACATGAACTTACTTCGCATGGTTATTAATTTTTCAGGGTTAAATTATATAAGTTCTAACTTGTGTATAATAATAAATATTAAAAAAGTGCTTAATTAAATCTCTACGCTTTCTATTGGAGTACCTATTTAAACTTACTTTTCCATAGGGTGTTGGATATGTTTATTTGTATTGTTCTATTTATATATAATAACTGTTATGGGTAAAAGAAAAAATCCAAACTACGAATGAATTACAGAGATTGAACTCATGGGCTCTAGAGCCTGAATCCCGCAAGCCCAGCCCATGGGAGAAATACCATGGGCCTTGACCCACATGGGTTCGAGCCCATGGGCCTAACCCGATGGGTGTGACCATGAGCCCAGCCGTTAGACTTACCCACGGATCGGAGCATGAGACTAGCCCCTTGTGCTAAAACCCCATTTTTCGCGCTGTTTTGGGAAATCTAACGGGCTGTCCAACTTGTTTTCCTAGATTAGATTATGAATTGTTTATCTAGTTTAGAGGTTTCACGGAATCTCATCCATCCAAAAAAGTGTTGTACAGAGCAAATTACTCATCTGCGCTGATTTCACGCAGCAACAATTATAAATGTGAAGGTTGAGATTCCATCCTACTAGCATTGATACTTAAATTAGCAAATTAAGATAAGCAAAAAAAAAAAAAGAATACAGCTCACGTACTGGGATCCAGGTCAGCACTGAGAAGCTCCAAAACAGGTGGTTTGGTTTTGGTGGCCCAGAAATGAGTAATACCATCAATGCTTGGAAAGGGCGGCCGTTTGAGAGTGACGACAACTGCGGCAGAAACGGGGTTCCCAGTGGGAGTCGCGGCGGAGGATTTAACGGCAGAATTAGGAGAGTCGAAGCAGAGGCGAGGGGCGGCGTTTGGTTTCACACTCTGTCGTCCAATAGGAAGCAAATTAGGTTCGGCAACATTATTACTCAGAAGAAATGGACCACGGTAAATACACAGGGCTTGTTTGGAGTTATAAACGGGAGACTTCAGCATTTTCTACTTGTTTTGCGTTACTTTTTGCTGATAAAAGCTTTAGATGACCTCAACTCAAGTAGCATGAGATGAGGGCTATATATATATTATATATATATTAATATAATATATGCCACCTTAGCCAACAAACAAGCACAACTCTAATACAACTCTCAACTGTGTGTGTACCCTCTTTAAAAGTTGATGTTTATATGTCTCAAAAAAAAAAAAAGGTTGTATGTTTGAAAACATGTTTCTTGTGTAACTCGTTCAATTTATTTAAACATTTTTTAAATTTCGAATAGTGGCCACTACCCAAAAAAAAAATCTCCCTCAAGTTATGAGTGGTCAATACGTTCACAGAAATTATTTTATTCCATTCTATTTTTCTAGATGAAGAATAATTTACAGAGACTCTGTCTCATTTAGATCAACGAATCCTTATTTAGGGAGGGTCACACGAAAATTTACGATTTTAGTAATTAATTTTAAAATTTAAAAAATAAAAAAGAGTAATAAATATATAAATATTTATTACTCTTTTTTATTGAAAATTAATTACTTACTAGTATAAATAATTAGTTTTAAAAACATTTTATTTTACTCATAGTTGGGTAAATTAGTTAATAAAATATATTTACTTATTTAAAAAATGAAATTTGGGACGGAATCCGAGTTTGGTGGAAAATGCATTCCATGTTTTTGGAGTGGAGACTCAACCCTCATAAATTTTTGTTATTCCTGAGGTAGATACACGAAAATAAAAATTTAGAAATATAAAGAAACTTTTAAAAGAAAAGTTTTCGATCGATAAAAGAAAAATATTTTGAGAAAGAAAAGTTAGAGAAAAAAAATTTGAGAGAGAAAATTAAAGTTAAAGTGAGAAAAATTTAGAAAAAAATAGAAAAGTTGAGAAAAAAGACATATCAGAGAAAGATAGAAAGAGAAATTAAAAAGAGAAAAAAAAACTATGACAAAAAAATCTAAATATATTTGAATAGAAGTTATAATAAAATAAAATTGAAAGAAAAAAATTTAGATACTATAAAATTAGAGATATTTTTGCTATAGAAAAAAATTAGATGATAAAGATAAAAAAAAAAAAGAATTCTAGAGAAAATTTAGGAATATATAAAATTTTAGGGAGAGAAAAAATTAGAATGATATATTAAAACAAAAGGAATAAAATAAAAAGATAATGGGATGAATGTTCTAGAAAACGTAGCCTACCCCTACCGTCATAGGGGAAATTGGGGTTTTTGACCCCACCAATAGTTCAAATTGGATAAATGAACCCCTTTCAAAAAAACCTAATTTTTGACCCCACCTCTACTTAATTTTGAACCTCTCCCCAAGCCAATTTACCATAGTACCCTCATGTTTAAAAATGAAGGGAA